TTAAAAAAATCCCTGAAGCTGAACACAGTATTTTATTTTAAAGGCGTGTAAACATAGTTGTGTCATCGTTGGTTGTCTTATACCATGCACAATAATAACACCTATAATACAAAAACTTCTGTTACTAATATTATTAATACTGCATGTGGTTTTTATTAAAGCCTGGTCCATGGTCAGAACAAAAACAAGGAGAGCAAGGGTATCACTTGTGTGAGAGGTCTTCCTTTGCTGTGTGCTTCTGCACAATAAATTCATAGCCAGGAAGCTCAACAGACAAATATATATCTCAAAAATATTTGTTCCTATGCTGTAAGCTGCTTGTGCCTTTACCGTTTAGCCATTTTTAAGTTCTCATTAATGCTTTAATTCCAGTTTGAACACAGTTTGTTCTACATATAGTATACACATAATGTGCCGTTAGACCTCTGCATCCAAAAAATCAACTTGTTTGGAGGAGGATAGAGCAGTAAATGGTTTGCTTATAGTTCTCGCTAACATTCCTTTTTAGTTCTTGGTGAAGCAGTTCTGTGAAAATGTGGTCCTGCATTTCTTGCTTGCTACATTTGACTCTTATTTACATTTTAACTGAGAGCCCTAGAATGTTGCAAACCACTGTCAATGACTCACTAACTAAAATGCTTTTAAGTCTGTGGACATTGAGTAGAGTGGCTTTTAGTTTAAGAGACACATCTAATTTGAATGATAACTCTTGCAAGAAGTCTCACACTCAAGTTGTGTTTCTTTTTTTAGAAATTGTGTCAGAGTAGTGGTGAAATCTTTGACAAAACAAATGAATGTTGAGTGCATGTGTCTCCTGGAGGAGTAATTAAAATTATGTTTAAGATATGTTTTATATCACTGTGTGTAGAATCTGCTGGGTTGGCCACACTGGAGACTTAAGACCTTTTTATCCACAGAACAGGTATTGCAGGCTTTGCCTCTCAAAGAGGCCTCAGCCAGCATCTGAAAAGACAGCACTTAGGAGCGTGACTCACAAACAGGGACAGCTTACTTGGAGGTGTCCCAGGCAGTTATGCAGCCTGCAGAGCCGTCCTGTCCTGGAAGCAGGTCCTGAACCTTCACAGTTTCCGTTTCAGAACTTAGACGCAAACCAGGCAGACCTCAGTTTGTCTTGAGATACCAGGCTGAAGTTATCTGTACAGGCGGAGGGGGATGAACCTGCCTGAGGGCAGTCGAACAGAGAAGTATCTCGTGAGCCAGGGCCCTTGGTCTTCTGCTGTTTGCTAGTTTAGAAGGAGCTGAAGCCATCGTATTGTAAGTCATCAACAACTACGTACTCCATCAGTCCACCAGCATAGTCACAAGCAAATCACCATACCGGTTCTCTTTCATAGATGCTTATCTGGGAGCGATACTTCAACGGGGGTGGGATCTGCAGCAGTGTAACAGCGTGTACTTAAACCACAGTAGTTAAACTGTGTGGTTTGTGTGCAGGCAAATCGCCCCTACAGAAGAAATACTTTGTAAAGGAAATGCAGGAGAGTGCTACTTAGTCATTCCAGAAGGTAATTTCTTCTGAAGGAAAGTTTGCAGTTTCTATATATAAAGTCTTCCCCAGGTGATACCTTCTGAGGTTTTTGTTTCTAGTGAGTCTTCATTCTGTCATAGAGTTTCCTAGGTGTTTTGTAGATCAGGTATGTGCACAGCATCTACTGCAGACTATTCTGAACAAAGTTTCTAATGCATGGTTGACTTTGATGGGGAGAGCTGGACTTAGTCCATCGGGATCTCAATAGTCCTTTCCACTCTTCTGTTCCTAAGCGTGTTTGTGATGCAGATAGTTGTCCAGTGACCTGGAATGAGGCAGCCTATTCATTTCTGACAAACAGCCTTCAGATCATCATGGCTTTTCATTACTAAAATGAGCAAAATAACGGCAGAGATATGAAAGGCTTGCCTCCTGTCACCAGGTCCCTTGGACCATTTGATTCTGCATGCATAAAAGTGTCGTGGTTTGTGTGTATGTGCACGAGCACACGCAGGCCTCTGCTGAGAGTGCACAGAAACCCAGGGAAGAGCTGTGTCAGAAGGACTGGAGCTGTCTCCATCAGAAAGCCAAGATGAAAGGAGAAGAAATAAACTTTGTTAGAACAAAATCTCAGTAATTACCTTTCTTTGCCTGAATTGTGCAAGCAAATGTTAGTTCTGCAAGAGATTTGTTTTCAGAATTATTTTTAAAGGAAGAAAAAATACCCCTTAAGATATTTCTAACACTGACGTTACTCTCAATGTAAGATTTCACAGCTATGCTTGCATGCTTTTTGTAAATTAAAAAAAAAAATAATTTTGCACATTAAACTTATACCAGTGTTTCTGCACAAAACTGTGTTTCTCTACCATTTACAGAAACAAAATTTCTAGCTAAAATTTTGGAAGCTATCTTTGGGGTTGGTGGGGAAATATAGAAATGACTAGTGATACTAGTGGACCTCTTTCCTACAGGTGTTAATCACCTGTTCTAATGCTGCTGATAATGATTTTGTCATAAATTACATGTAATACGTTTGAGTACTACTGTGGTTCTACCTCCACTGCAACATGATTTTTTTTTTTTTTTTTTAATATATATTCTGGATAACAGCATTTGTGAGGATTAAAAAATAAATCTGGTCTAAAGTATTTTCATATGTAAAACAATCCAGGCCATTCATAAGAATGCACACAGATAGAATAGTCATAACATCAGAAAGGGATTAACCATGTAGAAAGATTAAGTTAATAAAGGAATAATTAGGATTAGGGGCAAATCCTGCAATAGGATCCATATGTATAAATTCTTTATATGTTTCTTCTGTTAAGTATTGCTTAACAGTAACTCAAAGTACAATAGCTCTGTCAGTGCTCCTGGCGTAGTTTTACTGTCTTTCTGTTTTCAGTCCCACCTGAATCATCTGCAGACATGTTAAGCATCAGGTTTTTTACTCTCCGAGGATAGATTTGTGCAACTTGCTGGTTTCTGAAAAGAGCTCCTCTGTACCATTTATGCCTGAATTATTAACATAGCTTGGAAACAACTTGTTCAAAAGAGAGGGCTATTAATTCATGCTTCAGTGATGCCAAACATAAAGCATAAAACTAAGGAAAAAAAAACCAAAAAGTTTCTTATGTCACTGGCATTATCTGTTTAGCTTGGATAGACATATTTTGCAGGTGGTAAGAATAACATGCATAGCTTTTGGTCTCCTGGCTCTGAGCTTGCTATTTCTTTCATTAAAACAACGGGCAGCACTTCTTAGATTACTATTTTTTCAGACTACAACTGCTTTTTAGTAGCTTTAAAGCTTCAGGTTTGTTTTGCTTGTGAGGCTGGCCCTTGCTAGAGTGCCTCATTCTGAGCTGGAAGGAGTCTTTCATGTTTATCCTTCTTGGAAGGTTTGTATCAAAAAATGACTAAGTCATCTCGCTCTTTTACCTTTTTTACACCTCAAAATATTAAGATGTCTTCTTATTACAAGACGTCTAATTTCAAGCAGCAATGGAAAATAGAATGGAGAGAGAAAAAAAAGAGAGCTACATATTAAATGTAGAAAAGATTGTAGAGATGATACTCTCCCATTTAGTCATCAATACCAGCATAAGATGCCATCCAGCAGTGAAGATCCTGTTGTACATTTCCATTTAGGCTCCTTTTTTTTTTCTTAATTACCTGATTCATTCCTCCTCAGAGACCCACATGTGCTAGTGCAGAAGCCCAGGGTGCGGTGGGCGAGCGACAAGCACCACCTCAGCAGTACTCACCAGTGGTCCATCACTCCTACTGGAGTGAATCAGCCAAAGTGTGCTTCTCTTCTGGATGTCAAGAGGCTTCAACGTGCCTGGCAGAGGTGAGCAAGCTCTGACAGTGTCACGATGCCAAACAGATTCTCTTGTCCTGAGGATTGATCCTGGAGTCCTGTTCCCTGGAGGTGTCAGTTAAAAAATGAATTCTCAGTATCAGGTCTTACAGGTGAAGATGCATTTGGTATAGAAATCTAAACTTCTTTGTATATGGAGTAAATCACAGTACACTGAGGAAAATGGGATCACTTTCCTGAGATCCAAGTGATGATAACAGGTGGCTTTTCTTTCAGAAAATAATCAGGTGAAGAGTATGAATCAGAAGTAAGCAACAATTAATGTCAGCACAATATATTAGGATTTTTCGTATACTCTCATGAAAGATTTAGATGTTATCACCCACAAATGCTATATAGCCAGTTTATTCAAGGTGCTAATAATATGAGGCAGCACCTATGCAGCTTGCCTTGTTATAAAAATTCAGCATTTCTACCTTTCACATCAGTGTGGCAAATCAGATGGGGGAAAAAAAGATTCCAGTGGCTCCTGGTCCAGCGCAGGATGCGTGCTGATACTGCCGATACCAAATTATTTAGGAGGCTTTCATTCTGCATTAAAGAAATGGTCATGTTCTCTGGCCCATTCACTTCCTTTTGTCCTTTCTTCCTTCAATTTGCTGTCAGGATGGTATGAATGAAATTGTTAAATACACATCAGGAAAAAAACCCCACACCCCAGTTTTGCTTTTATGAGCTGTGTTTAAGTGATGTTTTGCTGTTGGCCATATTTCTGATAATACTCTCAAACCAGTTAGCAATGAGGGAATAAAATGATGAGTAGACTTATGATTTTGAAGAACTAATTGTTTACTTCTACAACTGCCTAAATCCTACAAAGAAATTAAATTGCCTGATAATGTGAAAACTATTATTTATTAGTTTGTGATTATTTGTGGGGGGGAAAAAATGGATTATTACTCATGGGTTGCATGAAAAATATTAGTTTTTTGTTTTTTTTTTTTTTTTGCTAAATTCTGTTTTGGCAGTAAGCACAGTCTTAAATATATGCAGATCTGGGCTGGGTAGCTTTTAAGAAGTCTTTCATAACTCCTATGTATACTGTTTTTTTTTTCCTCACAGCAATACGCTTCTTTATTCCTGTACCCCATATTCAAATCTACCACTAAAATCAATAAAAAGGAAATGATAAAATTTTTTCTTATGGTGAACAAACAAGGACAAACAAGGCTCTCTAGGTATTACGAGCATGTAGAAATTAATAAACGGACAATGCTGGAAGCTGAAGTAATCAAAACCTGTCTCTCCCGTTCAAAGGATCAGGTAAGATTTGTAGATTTTCCCCTAGCCATTTTATTTTGTCAACATCTCACGTCTTTCATGTCCATAATTCTGAAAACATATCAGTTTCCATTGCAGATCATTATTTCATTTGTAGCCATGAAGAAAAAGATTGAACCCATAATCTAGAAACACAGTCAGTTGAACTGTTATTCTGCCTTGAATAAATGTTTTTCTGAGGCTTACAGAGATTTTGGAGTTTTGTGCATCACTGTCATGGAGATTCCTCCTGTTTGTTTGAAGAGGCTCAGATGTCCAGGAAGAATTTATTTTATCCTGTTTTGGCTTGTCTGGTGGAGATTAATAGAAAGATATTACTGCTGTTTTGCCTAGAAGGTAGTAGGAATAGTACCAACAGCTCCAAGCTTAAACAAAAAGCTTATGAGAGTATATTCATGATTTGGAATCCTCTGTCTAAAACATAGGGCTTTGTGGAAGCACAAATTCTTAGGCCTCTGTATTAGGCATTTTTATTGAAAAGAAGCATACATGCTTTCTGTGAGAAAGTCAGAAAAGTCAGAAGTTGGAAAACTACTTAGATGAAAGCTGAGATTTTCATGGCTTGCTGAATGGAGCCATTGGATCTTTAAAGAAAAGTACAAAACTTAGAAAAAACTTTTGGGCACAATGACTTGCATGGGAAGAATAATATGTGACCTAAACTGTGAGTGGACTTTTTTGGTTTGTGTTCAGAAGTCAGCTTCTTTAATTTTCATTAATTACTTGCGTCCTTGAACAGTGGTCATCAAATACTTAATTCTAGAAAACCTCAGGAATAAAACCTCATTTCCTGTAAGTTCAATGGACTTCACAGTGGCTAAAGAAATTGACCTCATCCATAATTCTCTTGCGAGAGCATCTCCAAATAGAAACTTGATCAAAAGATCTAAGAGTATGCTGCCATTTCAAGGACCTAGCAAAATGATCCTTGGCAAGTCAGAGGCGGCGTCTGGCCAAGCAGCGTGTAACAGCTCCATCTGCCGGCTCCTGGCTTCGCGGGAGGGACCTCAATTTCCCTCCTGGCCCTGGAAGTCTAATGATTTTCTCTTCATTTTTATTTAAAAATACCTATCTTTTTTAAAATATGAAAATGACCTTCAGGTCGTCTCCTTCGGAAGTGCTTCCAAGTGACAATTTAGGGGAAGTACTGACTGCCTTATAATCCTGAACAAGTCACTTTTGTTCTGTATGTTCCAGTTTTTTCATTTTGAACAGGGTAGCATGTTTTCAGCCAGCAGATGAAAAGTTTTGTGTAATACTTACCCTACTAAATTTCTTTCAAGTCAGAACTTGGATCCATTTTGGTGGATCTTGGGCAATCCATTGTTCTTTGTGGACATTAGGAACATGGAATCTTAGGCTCTTTGAGCACTCTGTGCTTAAATGCTGTTGTGTGCTTAAATGGTAACTGCTGTATTTGGTTGTTTTTGCTTCTGCCTAGTGCTCTTTCATTGAATATAAGGACTTTAAGCTGGTCTACCGACAGTATGCAGCCCTTTTTGTGGTCATTGGAATCAATGAGACAGAGGTAAGAAACAATACATCCTCTAAATGAAAGCGTGTAGTCATTCATTATCAGGGGCAAGAGCTCAAGCCTGCTTCCAGTATGCAATATGCAATTCTACAGTAGCAGTTAGGAGAGTTTTATGGAGTCCTTGGAAAAAAAAAAAAAAAAACAAACCCAAAACAAACAAATCACAACCTCCTTTTACTTCTGTGGAATAAAAAGAGGTATAAAAAGAAATGTGGTATGTTTGACTTAAGTCTGTAGCAGTAAACTGAACTGTTATCATGAGGCAGCCTTCCTGAGCCTTGTACTGATTCTGCCTTCTAAATTCTTGTTTGATTAAACATAAATGTATGTGGGGGTGGGTTTTCTCAACAAATGTATTACAGCCAGAGCAGCTGTTTCATCCATGGTGACTTCCCAACTGTTCCACTGTTTTTAAGCTGCTTGGCCGATGAAAAAAAAATCCCCATGCTGCCAGCAAGAAAGATGCCAATTTGTTGTATTTTTTAAATAAATAAAAAAAGACAAGTACTCTTATTTCATGCATTCAGGCTGAGCCTTCAAGGCTTTAGCATTCACATTGATTCCCCGTTCTCAGAAAATAATTCAAAGCTTACTGTTGGGGACCTTAACAGGGTGGTGTGGAATGCAGCTGCTGACTACCACAGTGTCTTCAAGTCAGGCTTATTGTGGCATGCAATTTGGGGCAACTTCTTTTGGCTTTGTTACAAAAGTTGCTCATCTCTACTGCTGTAGCATAGCCTGGCCCGGTGCCGCAGCTGGCTGGTATGACTTCAGCATGGGCAGGGACAGCCCCTGTCCAGCCGTATCCATCTCCATGTCTAACCTGGGAGATGGTGGAACAAAGGATGCAATGGGATGGCAGCAGCCCCAGGGCGACAGGTCCAGCAGGCACCTCCCCTCCTGCGCTTCCCTGCGGCCCTCACTGCATTTTCCAGAGGCCTTTCACCCCCATGAGCTGAAATCACACAAAGAATGCTATTACATTTTCTAGCTATTCATTTAATACTCACTTGGGTTTAATTTAATTTCAGAATGAGATGGCAGTGTATGAACTAATTCATAATTTTGTGGAAGTTTTGGACAAATACTTCAGCAGGGTGGTGAGTGAGACATTGATTCTATTACAAAATATTTCTTCTCTTTCAAGAGCTTTAGTGCATATGTCATCTCAGGGAATAAATCAAAGGATTTTTTTTCCCCTATTAATTTAGAACTTTGAACACTTTAGCATGAAAAAGGGGAAAAAAAAGAAAAAAGCAGCAGTAATTGATTTTTTAGAGAAGTAAAAGTATCCATTGGTTATAAATCATCAGACAAGGAATACAATAAATGTTTCTGCTAGAAAAGCCTGGTTTAATAAGCTTATACTCAGGGGTTTCTTTGGGTCATCTACTTTTAAATTAGCCACTGGCATTTTATACATTTTAAAGAAATAAAGATGTTTTTCTTTAGAGTTCTTTTTTGCAGTTGTTAGCATTACATCTCCCAAATGGAATTAATTAATGATAAAGATGGTGTAAGCATTACGCAGGGAGCTGACATCACTCTCACTGAACAAGATCAGAGAGATGGAGCAAATGAAACCCCCAAAACCAGTCTGCACTTGTGCTTCCCATACTGTTGTCATGCAACAGTGGATATCTGATAAACCAGCTATTATATATACAGTCATTTCTAGAAGGATTCAACATCAGAGACGGTTCCAGCTAAAATGACACTGCTTCTTTTGGTGGCAGATTTTTTTTTTGTTTGCTTGGTTTTACAAAGTTTGAAACTGCAGCATTATAATCCTAGTTAGAACATGTGCTATATAATACAGGGTTTGCAATAATCTTGTTATAAACAAATTTGCCTCAAATCATACTTGGGCACAATTTCAGTTTATCTATGGTGAAATACGTTGTGTATCCCTCTCAGAAAAGAGGACTGGGCAGAGCTTCCTCCGTAGCCCAAGTGCTTGAGGGTTTTATTTTATGGACTTGAGGCAGAGCAAAAATACACGTAGTTCTTGTACATACAAATATAGTATATAGAATTCCTTGACTACCTATATAACCCAGCCAATGATAGTCCTTAGAAATTTGCTGAACTCATCATGCCAGAGTTGTTTGTATTTTCCATCACATTTCAGGTTTGAAACCAGGGGAACCAAAAAGGAGGGTGGTAAAGAAATCTCATGCCATTATGTGGTTCTGTTTTTAATAGCATCTAACACAATAAATGGCAGAGCACTGAAGAAGAGGGCTATAGTTCTAGCTGGGGTTTCTGGCAGAAATCACAGAGCAAGAAAATACAAGTCTGTACTATTATGGATTAATGTTTAGGATTTGCAGAATTTTAGCAGAATCCCCCATTATGATGACGACAGTGGGGGCAGAACTCTGGGAAAGGAAAGAACATCTTTCCCGCTCTAGAAGGACATTTCGTCATCTATTATTTTTAGGCTTGTGAGCTTTAAATATTTTCACGTACTCTATTTTTATCTAATGGAGTTTACAGAGCTTGAATTCAGATATCAGAAAAAAAAAAACCATTAACAGGATTAGGGAGAAACCTTTCAAAGTTGCTTGTGAGATGTAACTCCGAGTACCCTTCACTTTTATAAAGCTAGGGAAAACTCTGCATTGGAATACATATTCCAATGTTTTCAACTACTTCTAAAGCTGGGGAAACTTAAACCTACCAAGCTCTTAAAATACAATTTTTGTGATGTATGGAAAATGTCAAATTTAAGAATAGCTGAGTCACTCAGCAGAGGCCTGGGGACTAGAACTAGTTCAGTTGAGAACATCTTTATAGACCATAGAGCCAGTGGCAATTTACCAGTGGGAACTCTGCCTAAACCCAGCTTTAGATTGTGAATGGAAACCATGTTAGCAAACTAAATTCGTCTGGGAGCAGATGAAGATCCCCTCTTTCAGCAGAGACTGGGGAAGCTCCACCCCAGCTGTGCAAGATCTGAACTGCTGAGGCTGTGACTAATTGTTTCTAAATTTAAACCGAGGCACCTAAGTTAGAAGTTGGGTCATCCTAAGCTCCCATTACTGGCAGCGGAGACCAACGAGTATCTGGAGAAAGTGAGTCACGCCCCAGGCGTGCTGAGTCAGCTGCTGAAGATACCCATGTCTCTTCTGTTGATTGCAGAGAGACCACAAGGGCTTCGAACTCAGACATTTTGGTTAAGTGCATAGAAACAGGCCAAGACTAGAAGGGAAGTGATGACTGTGCAAAGAATTGCATTGCTGGGGCTGGAGAAGAGTTAGAAGTGATAAGGGTACAAAGCTTGGAGTTGCCCTCTTCCTCCTAATACATCCAGCCATGGCCACCACAGCCATGGGGTGTGTCCAATGTTGAGATTTTGCTGTTGAAATGATCTGCAGTATTTTAAAATGTGTTTTTATATAACTTGTGAACTTGGCATTAACATCCTGTTTTTGCGGAAGGAGGACGAGGGACTACAGGGCTGGAGTTGCCATGACTAGAGATGCTGGTTTTCCACCCACTGATTCAGATGGCACTGCACATACCCACACTGTTATTCATGGGTGACCTCAGTGGGTTTTTCTGAGTAAAAAAGTCAGGACCTTAGCTTTTGTTACAGAGGCACAGCAGTGGTGAAGCAAAAAGTGTCTAACTGTACAGCCCAGAACAAAAATCTGAATCCCCCTAAAATATTGTATCATTATTTTGAAGACTTTCTTTAGTCTCTAAAGGGAAATGTCATGTTTAATGACGATGAGATGAGAGATCAAACCCTAACTAATGATTGTCCATCTCTTTTCCTTGCAGAGTGAATTAGATGTATCCTTTTCAGTATCAGAAACGCCTCTGTCTATCTCTTTTTGGTGTATGTTCTAGTTTGTACTGTCTTCAGGCTGACTTCACAGACTATCAGACAGTCAGGACAATGCACAAGTTTCACAGATTTTGCATTTAAAGTAAGCGGCACCATTCTGGCCCCTTTCTGAAAACATGGCTGATGTTCATGAGGGTCACCTATTTAAATCCTCACTCATTAATATAAGCCTGGTACCAAATACTAAAGTACAGTCCTGAACAATTAAAGACAAATAGCAAGTAAATAAAATACAATACTGAGTTAAAAAAAAAAAAAAAATCTAAACAGGAGTATGTAGTGCAGTCTCCCTCCTCAGTTCTTCCTATCCCACTGCATGCTCATTCTACTCCAGCAACCCTTATGCATTTGTCTGTTGTTGGTTAAATGGAGATCTACTGGTACAAAGAGTTTCAGTTACATACCTGAAACAGTTGTCACCCTGGAATCAAGTACTGTCAAGTAATTTAGTTCATTTACCTTATTTAAGAATTAGTACATACCAAGAACGTAGAAAAATGATGTAATTTTTCTTGTAATTGCTCTTCTTTAAAAAAAAAAAAAAAAAAAAAAACCACAACAAACCAAACCCAAAATAAAAAAAAGGAAATAATTTCACTTTTGTAAATATTTCAATGCTTGCTGCATGCTGAAACTGTCTTATTTACTGAACTTAAATATCTAAGTAAATATATGTATGTGTACATACACTATTTCCTTTCTGAAATTAACAAATGTTGTGGTGTTAATGGAAGACTCCTAAATTCACTTACGTTTTAAGAGAGCAATAATGAAATTTCAGCATTAAGAGACTCTTGAGGTCTCTAAGCTATTGTATAACTACATTTTTGTATTCGGTTATTATGGTTAAGGGTTAAAACTATGTGTACTTCTGTATGAGCTTTGCCAGGTTAGAGACTAACCTGACCTATTCAGTAGTTATGCATAAAAATAGTCCCTTATGTTTCCATACGGTGTGTTTTCAGTGTGCAATTACCCGATTCTTTTTATCTTTGACTGTTTGGAGTACTGATGATTCTAAATTCTGCCTCCTCTGGTCACTGTTTTCATGCCAAGAGGAATTTCCTGTAGTTCCACATTTCGTTACCACCAGGAGCCCTTTTAACAGCCGAGAAAGGCTGCTGCACATGCAGCACGTCCTGCACACAGAGACAGTCTGCATCGTTTAGAGAAGCTGCTGCATTATGTGCCAACACCAGTGTTTGCAAAAGATGCAATACAGTGTCTGATTCCTGGAGAAATCCATCTTCTACGTGAGTCTCATCTGCATTGAGGGTGTGCATGTACATAGCTGGGAGACAGGAGAGTGCATTGCTATCTTACTTGATGATACTGGAAATAATACTGGAGAAGCTGATGTCTAATATGTCTCTCCTCAACATGCACAACATACAAATGACATATGTAATTTTTCTGTTCAGAAACACACTTTTCAAGTACATTATGGACTTGAGGAACAATGTTAAAATAATTTACTTCTATATATATGCAAAATAATCCTCCCATTTAGGAAGTAGAGCTTCCCATAAGTTGCGAGGATACCTAGGATAGTTGAGATGAAGTGAGACACCCTCAACATTAAATATAAAGCAGAAGTGTAATGATGAACAACTGAGTTGTTCACGATTGATTATATTTTTGACAACAGCTTGAGCAGCAGGCCCAGAAAAACAATATAAGATTTGGACCACAAGTGTCTTAGATGTTAATGCAGTGCCAGCAATAGTCCATCAATATGACTTTCATAGTGTGTAAAATAACATCCCCAGCTGGGACTGAACCACGTCCTTCGCCAAACAGTCTTATGCCAACTCTTACATGCAGTACAGTTAGCTTGGATGTGAGCTGTCCGCTGGAGGAAGCGGTCTCCGAAGGTCTGTAACAGCAAACACCAAGGAGTATTTACAGAATCTATGGGTACAGACTGTCTGGCAGGAGACTGTCACGACTTCCTGTCTCTGTGCTACTATTTTTGTGTACAGATCCATAGGAAGTTTATTACAAAAAGTTGACTTCTCTATTGCTTGAGCTGGTGAGGCAAAGCTTACTTGAAGACACATTATCAACTTACTGAAGAAGCAGATACTTACGTTCCCCTTGTGGGAGGGGAGGGGGGAAACAGGGTCCTCTAGGACCAAGCATTTGAAGAATGTTGTCTTGATCCAAAAAAAACCCCATTACATTCAGTTGCAACTAGCTGCTGCTGCTCCTCCTAGGACAGATAAAGAGTTTTGATACAGGGAATGCTTCATCTGAATCAACTGTATTCTTCAGTCCCCCATGGAATAATACTTTCAAGAATACAGTGCATTTAAGTAGTAAGAAAATGGGATGATTAATTCATTCTGAGAACTCATAAGGATACACTTCAATTTGTACTGTAAAATAAGTGGAAACTTAGAAGGATTAGCTTAAAACTGTTGTTCTAGAATATCACAGAACTTGAAGGCACTGTTTCTCTCCCTATTTAATGTCAGCGTAGTTGTTTGAGAAAGAAATAGTCAGAAAACATTAAATGGATTTCAGTGCCTGGAATTTGCCTGCCATGAGATAAACTAGAAGTTATTTAAAGCAAATGTTAGCAAAAGTAGTTGGAATGTGTGACTAGTTTAAAAAAAAAAAGATGCAACGCCAACTAATCTTTAGTTGGAGAGGGATGTCCAGGATGAAAATTAAAGTTTTGTATATTGAAGTTATGTACTGTATATTCAGTTGCAAACCATCTGCCCCACAAGTACCCATGCTGTAATCTACAAAGCTTTTGTTTGTGCTCCTGGGTGTGTTACCTGATCACAAGCTGTTGGCTGCACTTTATCATCTCTTACGTTTGGACACACCCTTAATTACTTTCCTCAAAAATCCTGAGTTATCTTAAAAAGTCTCTATATGAAGGAAGCAATTTATCACACACAAGTTATAAATGTGCCTTTTTACTTTCCTCCTTCCCCTCTGCCCCCCTGAACGACCTGCCTATATCATGTTTTGGTGGAAAGAAACACAAGACTGTGTCACATATCCATAATTACACATTACCACAGTTAAAAATCCCCTTTGTACGTATGTCCCATAAAAACTTGTCATGCTAGAAAATACCATTCACGCTTGAGTAAGGGCAGCTTGTAGAGCTACCAAAAGGCAGCATAACATTTAAATTGGTGCCATTTACCTATTTATTTCTACACAGCCACAACAGCATTGACTGAAATCTGTAAGGGCTCACCTTTTGCCTAGGCTGACAGCTCATTAGGAGTATTTCCTAGCTAAGTGCTCTGACAACTTTTATTGCAGACTTTTATCTGTGGATATAGAGGTTAATAAACATTTTCTTCTGCATACCTGTTTAAAAATTCCTGTTAGCATCTGCACAGATCTAGTGAAAGTCCCTCAATCTTCTTGTGGGAATGACAGGATTCTTAGTGGAAGCAGGACCTTAACTGACAGCTCTGGGTGGAGCTTCTTCCTGGTGCCTGTTGCTTGGACTGGTTAGCTTTGCTGCTTTTCAGCTGGGTGTGGACCTATGACTTGAGGGCTTTACACCCTGAAATTCAGGGTCACCTGCCAAACAAGTGACAGGTGAGGTGGATGAGCCTTGCTGAGGATCAGAGACACATATCCCTCCCTGGGCAGGGCACTCAGTGAATGTGAATGGCTAAGCCGTGTGTGACGAGATGGAATCATGTAGTCATGAGACTTACAGGAGAGGGAGAGAAGCCCTGATTGTTCCCTGTGCGACCTGACTGCTTGCCAAGAACAGCATGCCAAGGGAGGTGGGAAGGGAACTGAAAAATGAAGCTGAGATGTTAGGCTGATGAGTAAAGAATGCTTTGAGACCTTCCAAAGTCCAGATGACAGGTCCTTCCAAAATGGTGCTAGTATGCCATTCAAAATGCAGATGAAATCGCTGGTTCTGGAACAATGTCTGTGACGTTAACAGGCTACAGAGGTGACGTACGGAAACAGACTCTA